TCCAAATTATCCATTTTACAGTGTAAAGGCAAATTTAGGGAAGAAGACTAAAAAGTAAACATTCATATTTTAGATCTTAGCAGTTTCATTCTTTATAACTTATGATATATATATATAGTATTCTTCAACAAGACTCTCTAGTTACAGAGTGATGTATCTGATTCACAACGGTACCCTTTCAACCTTTATCTGATCTATTTTATTGTTTATTCTGGTCTATAGCATTCATATGCAAGTCACTTTTACAGAGATACCACATTTGTACATAATCAATCTTCAAAGTTAAAAACAAGAATATCATGATCAAGCAAAGTGTTGAAAGCCCAAGGTAGTGTTATATGCTCCATCTATAAATGGATGTTTACTTAAAATTACTATTCAGCGCTGTCCCTTTAATACATTTGTTTCTACTTGTAGTTTGAGAACGATTATGACTTTGAGTTCTCTCCAGACTTACCAACAACCCTGATTCCATCTAGAATATACAAGTAAGCTATATTAAAAACAATTTTTATTTCAATTTATTTTCAATTATGGAGTTTCCAGTCGGATTCCGTTGCGTTGAATTTTGCAGAATTATAAGGCTCACATTTGCGTGCAAGTAAAATTCACTTTTAGAAATTTGAAAATATTACCGAAGATCTGAGAATTTAGAACGAAAATCGGGATTTTTTTTATAATAGTATGAAGTAGGTCTACCTTCCTAGATCCACAGAGGTTCAACTATACTCACTTAACAAAACTACATTTTAATATTTATTCAATATTTTAGAGACATACTTTTCTCTACAATAGGATTCCAACTGAGTTTCAAGTATCGTCCTAACGAGGCACTTCTTATCTACTATCTACCAGCTTTTATACTGGTCAGTCCTCAATTAGGCATACATCTCATTTTTTAAATAATAATTTTTTTCCTAATTCATTATTTTAGTCTTTTCTTAAGGTTGTTATTTCAAATCTGTCCTTTCTTATAGCAGTTGATGGTGCCCCGGCCAGAATTAGCCTTGTCACTTTGGTAATATTTTTAGTTTTAAAACTCCAGCGAGCTTAATTTTACATTTTCTGAAACTCCAGCTAGCTTGATTTTACAATTCCTGAACTGAAGCAAGTTTGATTTTACATTTTGTTTAAAGCTCCAGAAAGAAAAAACTAACTGAATGCTCCAGCTAGAAACATATTTCTAAAAACTCCGTCTAGTAACATATATTTGATAAAACTCCAGCCAGTAACATATTTCTAAAAACTCCAACTTTCAACATATTTCTAAAAAGACAGCCAGTAACATATTTCTGAATACTCCAGCTAGTAAAATATTTCTGGAAACTCCAGCTTTTCAAATATTTGTAAAAACTCCAGCCAGTATCATATTTGTAAATATTCTAGCCAGTAACATATGTCTAAAAACTCCAGCTTTAAAAGTATTTGTAAAACTCCAGTCAGTAACATATTTGTAAATATTCCAGCCAGTATTATATTTGTAAAAACTCCAGCCAGTAACATATTTGTAAATATTCCAGCCAGTATAATATTTGTAAAAACTCCAGCCAGTAACATATTTGTAAATATTCCAGCCAGTATAANTTCTTATAACATTATATAGCATATAAATTATCATTTTTATGTGAAGTCACTGCTTGCTCTTGTTAATCAGTTCAACAGTCTGAATGGGGTTGCTCCTAAGGGAGGGAAGGGACCTACAGCTGCAGGTTAGTTTCGGGACTTCTAGGCGAGGTAAGGGACCTACATCTGCAGGTTAGTTTCGGGACTTCTAGGGAAGGGAAGGGACCTACATCTGCAGGTTAGTTTCGGGACTCCTAGGGAAGGGAAGGGACCTACATCTGCCGGTTAGTTTCGGGACTTCCAGGGGAGGGAAGGGACCTACAGCTGCAGGTTAGTTTCGGGACTGTTATGGTTGGAAAGGAAGCTACAGCTGCAGGTTAGTTTTTGGACTTCTAGTGGAGGTAAGGGACCTAAAGCTGCAGGTTAGTTTCGGGACTTCTAGGTGAGGTAAGGGACCTACAGCTGCAGGTTAGTTTAGGGATTTCTAGCGGAGGCAAATGATCTACAGCTCCATGTTATTTAGGGGCTTCAAGGGGAGGGAAGGGACCTGCAGATGTAGATTAGTTTAAGGACTTTTAGTGTATGGAAGGGATCCACAGCAGCAGATTGATATAAGGACTCCTAGGGGAAGGGAGGGATCTAAAGCTGCAGGTTTTTTTTAGGAACTTCTAAGTGAGAAAAGGAACATACAGCTGCAGGTTAATTTATGGACTACTAAGGTAGGGAACGGACCTGCAGCTGCAGGTTAGGGTTGCATGTGAAATACTTTACTCTCCATAATACTCTATGTAAACCATATCTCTTATTTTAGCAATATATCTTCTTACTTGCGTGTTCAGTAACTGCTTTTGTCTAGGTCTTAATATTCTATCATTCAGGTAATCTTTATATTTCAGTATGGCCAGCATATATTTTATATACGTACCATTACGTTTTTTTTTCGCAATATCGAACCGAAAAAAACGTGTTCTGCAAATTTTCGAAAATAATTGGATAGACATATTTAGTGTAAGATATCACTACCATACTGTTCTTTATTTTTATCGAGTTTCATAAAACGTATTGTGAATGTTATTTAATAATTTAAATAGTTGTAGCTTTCCTTTTATTTTATTTTATTATGCAAAAAGTTTAAAATTTACAACCTTAGATTATTTACGAAAAGGATTTTCAAAACCATTGATAAAAACGTTAATAAATGTTATGTAGTTAATAATTTGTTCTATCTTTAGATTCAAGAAGGACAGTTTGATGTTTAAACGTGTAAACCTGTATACTGGACTCACTAGTTCACTTAGTTTCTTATTATTCAATATTATTTACTGGCCAGTTATAGCATCAGCTATATAAATATACTCAAGGGATTGTATTTATTATTTATCACTATAGCTGTAACTTTAATTAACCTAATGAATAATATTGTTCCTGATAGTATTTCAATATTGTTTCATGTTTGATTATTTCAAATAATTTGTTTATTATAAATTCTAGCTTTAATCTAATTTATCAAAAAAAAAAAATGTGGGGGGGGAGAGGGATTTGGATTATAGGAGCTTTCCAATTCTTGTATATTTTTTACAAAAACTTTGAAAACCTCAGGAAAAGAGTTTGTTTTCTGTTTAACTTAAACCAAATACAGATTTATGTTCGATGCACAACAACTTTTGGTTGGGTTTCAGTCAATAAAAGTTTTGAATTTTCTTTTTCATTTTCTAAAGGAAGATGATAAACCATGATCATTAGCCACGGTAAGGAGGTATGCAAGCCTATTTTCTTTTTACATTTTTAAATAAACAAAAACAAAGAAAAGTTTAGCAGGTTTTAACAGATAAGCCAATTATATAATATGTATATATATAAATATTTTAGAGATATACAGATATACTTATATATATTTATATATTTGAAAATCTATATATTCCCAACCAGGTTCTTCTATAATTCTTTATATTTATCTTGTAAAGGAATAAAGAAATGCATAAACTCTGTAAACTTTATTCAGAAGAATTTAACTTTTAATGTTAAACATCAAACTTTAAATTCGATTTTTATGCTCATTCAATGCGCAGTATACTGCATTTAGCAATAGTTTAAAATACCAGGTTTATATATATATAAATATATCACATATATATTACAGTTTTATTTAATTTCCTGTACACATTAAAATAGTAAATTGTTTCTACATCTTTCTATATAAAGTTGTAATCTCTGTTAGGGTGCATATGTGTATGTTTGTTTTTTCGATCATAACTCAGGAACACCTGAACCGATTTGTCTTCAAATTTTTAATTGGAGAACTCGGAATAATCACGGGAATGTTCTCAGCTCGCTTTGTAGATTTTAAGTTGAGTGGGTTCACTTTTAATTGAATAATAGCTTAAATCGTTATGAAAGACCAAATGTGGGTAAATAATAAATATGGTTTTCTCAAAAATTAGAGGAGTTCCGATGTAAGAAAGTCGTATCGCATAAATTTTACCTCTCACGTATCATTTGCAGTGTTTTGATATATTACAGTTCTGTAAAATGGGTTGTTTCAATATTAACTGTGATTTCTTTTAAATGTCGACCGGGTAGTTTCAAAAAAAAGTTCTATATAATATGTTGTAATCTATATATCCTATAGCCTTTTAGTACGCTTCACACCGATCTTCTATTTTAATTGTGAACATGTTCTCTTTATGTACATCATAAAACAAAACAAAAAAAATCGTGGATTTTAACAAAAAATTTCGTGGATTTCGTGGATTTTCAAAATTTTCAAAAATCTAATGAAAATCGAATTTTGATGTAGACAAATATTAGAAATTTTGATCATTCATAAACCTTCACTGGGGAGGTCCCACACAAAATTTGGGCCTGATCGGTTCAGCCGTTTTGACTTTTATTGGATACAAACAAACAGACACCCAGACTAGCTAAATTTGTATATAGACATCGGCTTTTAGGGCGCTTCTCGTCCATCTTCTATTTCAACTTTTAATTGTGGCTTTATCTGTGAGCATCTTCTCTTTGTACAGTATATAAAAAAAAGTTTGCGGATTTTATAATATTTATCAGTTCTATGTCTTGTATTCTATTTTACAGTTTTTAAAATGTCTGGTGTATATTCTATGTGACAGTTCTGGAAAAAATGTCTTGTTTCAATATAACAGTTCTGGAAAATGTCTTGTATTCTTTATTACAGTTCTGTAAAATAATTTATCTATTATTAATAATAAATTAGCTATTTATCGCGATCAATTCAAAAAGCAAATTTCGTGGTATCTAAACAACGAGATCATTCAGAAAAAAATTACCAAAAAATGTTTTGTTGACAATATATACTTTACGTATAAAAGTATTTATGATTTCTATCTTAAAAAAAGTTTATCCTAAACAAATATGAATATTTAAGGTCGTCTCCATTTTAACTTAAATTACCCCAAGGGATAAAAATAAAAACTAGGAACATTTTATTGTTCTTATAAAGTTATTTTAATGTTTCCATCTAAAGAATGTATTTTCTTTTTTGATATTTACGAATTTTTCAAATTTGACAGCTTTTCATGAATCGAATAAAGCAAGGTTTATCTTTTTTGTTAATTCAATCATGAACAAACCTTCCATTTTTGTGTTTAAGATCTTTAGGAGAGCTGAGGTTGGATGTATAAAAAGTAAGAACAATTTAATCAACTTATTAAAACAACTTCTTGTTAAATATATAATAAACATTTTCCCATCAATGTTTAACAACAAATTAAATTTTGTTAAAAATAAATTAGTTTCACGGTTTCTTCCAATGTTAATAAAAAGTACTTTGCATTACATGATTCAGCGAACAGCCGACAATAGAAAATATTCCGGGAAAACAATAATACATAGAGATATATATGTATAATGTATATAGTAAATATGGTGCTGTCTAGTGATTACTAAGCATGAAAAGAATATGACATGTAAGACTGTAAGACTGTAAAGCCCAGACAACAATGTAATATCAATTCCTTCGTCTTATTCTTTTATTCATAGAATATTTAATGACTATTTTATATTACCAACTTAGGAACCCAGCTTTCCCTGGAAACCAACTTTTTTCTTTAAAAGTCAACTCAATCAACTGGATTTTTTAAACCGAGGTAAGAACATTACCGTAGTTCATGATTTCATGGGCTAGGATTGGACTTAAAACAGAGATTACTACTGCTATATATATATATATATATACCACTTGGGTGTCTGGCTAAGCCGATCGCGCCGATATTTTTGTGGGACCTCATGTGACCGCAGCTCAGGGAAGATTTATGGATGATCAAATTTTCAAAAATTTGCTTCTAACAAAATTCGATTTTTGAAAATTTTGAAAATCCGCGAAATTTTGTTTGTTTTTGTTTAATAATGAAAAAATGTTTAAGAAATATAGAGAAAGTGTGCACGAAGCGCCCTGTAAGCCTAGATTATTAAAAAAAAAGTTATATTCAAAAAGAACCAACAATGTTAAACTTAACAGATTTTTCTGTTCTTAATGATTATATAATGCATAATAATGGATTTTAAAATTATTGATTTTTTGTAGTCCAGCCGATTCAATGATTCCCTTGATAACTTTGCATGAGGTAAAACTACATGTATATCCTTGTTTTATAATTTAAATTTGATCATTTTCCATTGTGAGTTTTCTAAAAAATCAAATGGTGCATGGGTTTACACAGTTAACTAAAAAAAATTTAATTCTTAATTCTTTTTCGTATAATAGAATTTTTTTCCTGTATTTTTTGTAGTGAACAACTGAATAAGTCACAAAGATGTGTAAAGGAGTTGGATTTTTGCCACAAACTCTGATTTTCTATACTCTATATATCTTTACAAGTCAATTTTATGGACCTTTAACATTTAAAACTATGATTTCTGTTAGGTATAATAATCTAAATTTGAAATATCAAAGGTTAAACCATCAAGGTGTAAAGGTATAGGAATTTAACAATTGGAGTTTGTTGCAAAACACCTTTCCTTTACTTAATNTTTCCTTTACTTAATTTGTATTATGTTGCCCTGTTACTATAGACTCATTTCCTTTACTTAATTTGTATTATGTTGCCCTGTTACTATAAACTCCTTTCCTTTACTTAATTTGTACTATGTTGCCCTGTTACTATAAACTCCTTTCCTGCCACGGAAAACAATGATATATATATGAAAGGTTTAAGTTTTGATGTTGATTTGAGAAGATGGATTTCATTTCAGAAACCTCACCACAAACTTAAATTAAACCAAGACAGGGTTTCCAAAAAGAAAAGGATTATGTCTTTACAGGGTGTTCCAATAGAAAAAGGATCAACATATCAACAAGCAGGGTGTTCCAATAGACATAGGACCATCTTATCTATGTACTGGTGGTTCCAACACAAAAAGGACCAAAACATCTACATACACGGTGTTCCAATAGACATAGGACTAGCATACCTACACTGGGTGTTCCAATAGACATAGAACCAACATATATATATATATATACATGTTGTTTCAATAGACATAGAACCAAGCTATCTATATACAGGGTGTTTCAATAGATAAATGACCAATATATCTTTATATAGAGTGTTTCAATAGACTTAGGACCAACATATCTATATAGAGTGTTCCAATAGACTTAGGACCAACATATTTATAAACAAGGTGTTTCAATAGAAATAGAACCAAAATATCTATATACAGCGTGTTTCAATAAACATAGAACCAATGTATCTATATAGGGTGTTTCAATAGACATAGAACCAACATATCTATGTAGAGGGTGTGTTCCAATAGACTTAGGACCAAAATATCTATATACTGAGTGTTCCAATCGACATAGGACTAGCATATCTACACTGGGTGTTTCAATAGCCATAGATCCAACATATCTATATACTGGGTGTTTCAATAGACATAGGGTCAAAATATCTTTATAAAGGGTGTTATAGACTTAGGCCCAACCTATCTTTATACAGGGTGTTCCAGTAGACATAGAACCAACATATCTATATACAGGGTGTTGCAATCGAAATATAGGACCAATATATCTATGCACATGGTGTTTCAATAGACATGGAACTAACATATCTATATACACGGTGTTTCAAAATACATAAAACCACCACATCTATTTACATGGTGTTTTAATTGATATAGAAGCAACATATCTATTTACAGGGTGTTTCAATAGACATAGAACCACCACATTTATTTACAGGGTGCTTCAATAGACATATCTATATACAGGTTGTTTTAGTAGATATAGAAACAATATATCGATAAACAGGGTGTTTCAATAGACATAGGACCAACATATCTATACAGGATTTTTCAATAGAAATATAACCAATATATCTATATACAGGGTGTTCAAACAGACAAAAGACCAACATATCTGTATATAGGGTGGTCCAATAGACTTGTTTTAAGAGGCATAGGATCAACATATCTATGGGTGTTTTAATTCCAATATTATCTACAATTCAGAAGGTTCATAATGAAATAAGAGCAATTTATGTAAAGGCCGACTATTAGAACATAGAACTAAAATATTCTAAAAAGTGTATATTACAACTTCCAATATCTACAAACTAGACAATTCCCGCATAGAACAAACGACCCTGTTTTAGAGTCTGAAAACGACCCACACGACCCCAAAAACGGGCGCAGGCCCGACTCTGTTTTAGTACTAATAAAAGAGTCG